AAAAAAAAAAACTTTCATTATTCTCTTATTTACTGCAAAGTTCACTTTTAGAGGTAATCAGTGTTAGATTCATGTAATTATATGTCTAATAAAATATCAAACCATATTTGTATACCTACATGTATGTGTGCTTTCTACACAGATCAGAGTGTATTCCTTTCTGTTCATTGTTTTTGTTCTTTTCTTTAGTAGTATGTTTTGTACTTTGTTTTTAGTGAGTCCATTCACTTATTAAACCAGTTTATAACCATTTCTCTCATATTTACATTCTTTCCAATGTCATACTATCATATATATGATGATTATGGATAGTATAATAATAAAATAATGCAGTAATTATGAATGAATATAATCCAAATAAACAGAAGCTATTTGTGATCGTTAATAATTTTTTTAAAGCAAAGGTGTACTAAGAAAATAAATTTTGATGAATAATAGATTGTATCATAGTTTGCTCTTTCTCAGTCTATCTTATCTCACTCTGTCTCTCACATACATGACATGTACAGGCTCTTATTAACATTTTTAATATTTGAGTTAGGCAATTTCTCTAACTCTTTTTATCCTGAACTTATTTTTTTATTTTGAAATATTTGCTTTTCAAAATAAATTATAGTACTTTATGGGGGTAATAAAAAATTATCATTATTGTAATCATGTCTTAGTTTATAGCTTAGAAATATCTCTTAGAGGGAATTAGTAGCTCTACATATGAACAAAATATTTTTTTATTTTTTTTTTAAAGATTTATTTATTTATTCATACAGAACTGGGGTACAGGCCAGAGGCTCAGGGGCGGTGAGAGGCTTCACCAGAAACAGAGTGGGGAGCAGAACAGGCAGATCGACGAAGTACACTGCTGAGGGGAGCAGCGGGCGGGTCAGGAGAGGTCTGGCTCGCCATGTGGTCTCCTCCGGGGCAGGCGGCAGGCGGGAATCGAACTCATACGGAAGTGGCTTCAGATTCTCAGTGCTGTGCTTTAACCCGCTGCGCCACCAGGGAGGGCCTGAACAAAATATTTTTAATAATTTACTTAAATCTTCTCTATTTACTATTTATATATTGACAACTTGAATTAAAATAAAACCCTAGATTTCCTCATAGAAATAGTATCTATCATACCAGTCTCTTTTTATACCTTGTCATTTTATAAGCATTTTAATGTATAATTGGTTCAAAATCAAGTAGTACATTATTTACTTTTATATGTATTTGATGTACATAGAAGGGGTTTCATAAATAATTGATAATTTATTTTTAAATTTCTTTTTTTTAATCTATAAATAATAGTTCTATTTCATACACAACTAAGGTCAAGCAATGATATTCATACTAATGTTGGGATCTTTTTAAGGTAATTTTAATTTGATTAAATTAGAGCTTCTAATTTACATTTTGTTAGATACAGCATAAATACCCCCATTGTTACAGGATTTCAAACATGAAGACTCAGTCTTTTGTTACATTTTCTCTCTCTCTCTCTCTTTTTTTTTTTTTGTATGTATTTGACCAGAGGATTTTCTTCAGCCATTTCTCAAGCCAAAAATAAACAAACATAAATATATTATACAGCAGGAACAGGGAGAGAAAAAAAGTTCTTTTACTGTCTATATTGTATCACTTCATAGTCAATCATGTGGCTTTTGTTCAGGTTTTAATAACTAAAAAACAAAATTTGAGTTGAATGTCAGTCTTTATTGCCAGTAAAAAGTAAATCTGTTGTACACAGCTGTGTTTAAAAGAATGGTATTGTTTATAATGAATGTTTTAGGTATTCATAGTGTTTTCACAGTTTAATAGAAATGTTCTCTTTGAAAAGTTTGTACATTTAAAAAAATAGTTATTGATGTAAAGTGAAATCTCATTTTTAATGCAAATGATACATCTTTGGGTTTATTAAAAACAAAACTAAAAAAACCCAGAATTACTTTCATCAACCAAGAATATAAAATTATTCATTAATCCAAAAGCCATGCTAGTGATACATTTAAATTGCCCTGTATGTTTAAATTGCTTCTAAAAGAAATCTAAAATGAAACAATAAATATTTCAAAAAAGAAATTGAGAGCCTTTGTTACCTGTACTGCCTGTACTAAATAAATAAACCATGTCTTCCAGGGTTTGAAAAATCTGAAAAAAAAGTTAAAGTATCAATAAAAATAGACACCAATCCATGTGGCCAGTGTACTACTGTTCTTTGTAATACTTTTCCTTTATGTCCTATTTACCTTCCCTTCACACTAATGAAACTATCACTGGAGTCTATGCATTTGAATTAGAATTATATACATGAGGCAATGATGACATTGCATTAACATTTTATAAACTAGTTGTATATATTAACTCAAAATATTTTCTAGGAATGGCATCGTAGCAATTCTGAAAGCAAGTTTTCAAATTAGTAGTTACTACTTGATTTTTCTGTGAGAAAACCAACCTAAAGTAACAATCTTTGTTGATGCTTGCTCAGATCAGGTGGACCAAAACAGCAGGAAGTGCCTCTGACAGATTCCAAGACTCAAGTGTCTTCAATGAAACTTTGAGGATTACAAATATTCAACGACACCAAGGAGGCCGTTATTACTGTAAAGCAGAGAATGGCTTGGGGTCACCAGCGATAAAGTCGATCCGAGTGGATGTGTACTGTAAGTAAATACACCAGAAATCTCTGGTTAAAGCTGCTATAGATTTCTTCATTGTTACATTTTGAAATCTATGTGTGCATTGTTAAGTCTATTGAGAAAATTTAGGCTATTACCCCCTCAAAAAAAATTTTCAGGAGAATGTAAAGTTGATAGCTAGTTACACTTCTTGAAGAATCTGTTAAAATTTGTGATGTTTTTATGAAGCAATACATATTTATTTTAGATCATTTAAGAATCAGATTAATAACACAATAATTGTGGCCAAAATCCACCAATAAATCTTGAATGGATATACTTCTCTTTTAAAGTTTTTTACTGTGTTTTTTATTGCATTATTTTTATTTAGGAGGAAATTTAAGCCAAAACAAACCTTTGTAAGAATATACTTCATTTCTTCATATAAAGCTTGTAAATGCACACATTTTTAAACACAGAAATGATTTTTTAATTGGCTTGTGAATGAAAAAACTCTTTGTGGAGTCTGCGATCCAACTCTGTTGAAAGTAATCAGTACTTAGGGCAATGATTCATCACCTGGAGTGGGTTCTTGTTTTTTTGTTTATTTATTCTTAATCACATTTTCATATTTCTTGATATTAATATATAAATTGAAAATTCTTTAGGTCTCCTTACTTTTTTCCTCACCAGAACTAATTAAAGCCATACAATCTTTAACTCTTTTAAATTTTTAAAAGGTACCCTTCTCTCCTCTTGTTACTGCAAGGCTTTTTCAGTTTTGTTTTGCATAATACCACTTTGTTCCATATGTTCATATGTTCTTTTACTGTCCAGCTCTGTGCCATAGTACCTCAGTTCATAGTGAAAATGTAAGCTGGAAATCATAGCACTGCTCTCACCCGTTTTCCCATTCCCAAGATCTATTCGTTTTTGAAAGCTTGTTTCCCTTTGGAAGCCATCATGCTGAAGGCATTGTATTCTAGTCCTCTTCTTTAACGTCCTTATGGATTTGTTCCACATTAACTGTCCTTGACAGAACATCTGGATCTATATTATTAAGTGAAATATCACTGTGATGAGTACCATAGAAAGCACTATTTTTGGTACATTCTTGGTGGCCAGAAATTATTAGAAAGTTGTATATAATTATGTTATTTGATAAAAGAGTATTGAATTATAGAATCTGTGATACCTAACGTAAGTTTTCAAGGTAATATTTTACTTTCATGTCCATCTTTATAATGTTCTAGACATACATCTTAAGTATTTAATGCCTGTTCTTGAAAAATTGGAAAAATAATTCTTTCATATATTTTCCAAAATATTTTGACTGATAAGAAAACTTCACAAATGAAATTTGAAGTACACATGTGTTCCAAATATAACTTTGAGTGAAGATTTAGAATTTTTAGGTTTATGTTTTCTCTGTATTAATCTTTGTGATTTAAAACCTGTTTTCTCTTCTTAAGAGCAACAGTAATAGGATATTAATGTTGTATTTAGATTTGGCAATCCTGGTGTCTAAAATAGTATTGTAGTCTTAGGAGCAATCTGTGGTTGGATATTTATTTGACAGTAGACTGAATAGAAATTCATTTTTTGTGAACCATAAACAAATAAAAAAAAAGCTTTTGTTCAATTATTTTTACTTTATATGTTTTAAGAAATGCTAAGTCAATACAATGATTTTGTTCTGTCTGGAGAATGATTTTACAATTATCACTTGTACTGTAGATTTCTATTTCTAAACTGATTCCGCTGGTGGGCATTTTCATCAAAATCTACAGAACTTGGGAAGCAATTAAATTCAAAATATTAAACCACCTTCAGGTGAGAATTTATATGTGCTTTATAAACTGAGGTTTGGATTTAATAAGCTCTAATAAATAAAATTATAGTCATGAGTCCTCATGATAGTTTCAAAAGATGCCCAATAAAGTGTTAATTTTATCGTGATCAGTCCTGAAGAATTTTCAAAATAATGAAAACATTTCAGTTGTAAATTTCTATGTTTTATAACTAAAATATTGTTTTGATGAGGAAAGTTTAGTCTCACAAGTGGAATCTCCTACGATGCTATTTGATATAAAGTAAAGTAATATTTATTACATGGGTATTTTGAAATATTTGTGAAACATTTTGATCAACTTGGGAATATTTATTAATTTGTATTAACAATTTTCCCACATAATTTAAAAAGTTCTTGTAGTAGAAAATTGAACCACATAGATTTTTTTTATTATAATAATTTATTTTTACATAATTTTGCACCTTCTTCTATTTCAGTTGTAACCCTTATGGGCTTCTCATCACCAGTTCACCTGTGTGCCATCACCATAGTCCTGTGCACCCCCTCCCCCATTTTTTATCCCATTACCCATTCCACCCCTGTAAAAGGTGTCTGGTATAAGTTGTTCATTATTGTTATTAATATTATTCCCCTGGTCTTTTATGCTCCTGCCATGAACCACATAGATTTTATAAAACTATTACTAAGTATGTATGTGTGTGTACATTTCAATCAAGAATATAGTTTGCTCTGTGTTACTATTTTTTGAGACAATATTCTGTTTTAGTTTATAAGACATATTTTTTTAAGAATTCTGAAAGCATCTCAGGGGTTCTATGAAGTATATATTTTTAAAAGAAAATTTATGTCTTCTTTGGCAAAGTGTCTACTTAGGTGTTCTTCCCATTGTTGGGTTTCTTGTCTTCTTTTTGTTGAGTTTTCTTTGTGGAGTGTGGATATTTGCAACTTCTCTAATGTGTGATGCACAATATCTTCTCCCATTTAGTAGCCTGTCTTTATTTTAATTATAGTTTATTTTCACTGTGCAAAAACATTGTAGTTTTATATAGTCTCATGTATTTATATATTTTTGTTGTTGTTGTTTTCCTTGCTATAGGATCTAGGTCTCTAATATATTACTAAAGCCAATATCATAGTGTATTTTATTAATGCTTTTTTCTCAAGCATTTTATGGTTTCTAATCTTAAAGTCTTCAGTCCATTTCAAATTGATTTTTGTATGTGACATAAGATAATGGTGTACTTCCATTCTGTTTGCTTCTGATTGTCCAGATTTCATAACACCATTTGTTTATATTAAGACTTTCCTTTTTTCAATGTATGCTCTTTAATGCCTTTATTGTAGATTAAATGTCCATATAAATTGACTTTGTTTCTGGACCCTCAGATTTGTTCTAGTGGTATGTGTGTCTGTCTTTTTTTAGTCGGATGCCATACTATTTTGACTACTATAGTTTTGGAGTATAGTTTGAAGTCTGATACTTTGAGGCCTCTATTCTGTGTGCGTGTGTGTTCAGATTCCTTTGACTATTCAGGGTCTTTTGTGTTTCCATGTAAATTCTTATATTGTTTCTTCTATATCTTTGAAGAATGCCAATGAAATATTGATAGAGATTGCATTAAATATGTATTTTGCTTTAGGTAAGGAGCCCATTTTATTTAAATTTGCCAATCATCAGCAGAAATATCTTTCTACTTCTTTCTATCTTATTCTTTTAATAATTTCTTATAGTTTTCATTACATAGACCTTTACCTCCTTTGTTAAGTTTATTCCAATGTATGCATTATTTTTGATGTCACAGTAAAGGGCATTATTTTCTTGATTTCTTTGTTGTTTAGTTCATTGTTTGTATATAGTTTTGTAGATTTATTTTACAATGTGTCACTTTTCTCTGCTATGGTTTATTTATATCCTAATAGTGTTTCACTGGATTCCATTGCATTTTCTTTGTATATTATCATGTCATCAAATAGTGATAATTTTACTACTTCTTCCTCAATTTGGATTCCTTTTGTATCTTTCTCTTTCATCATTGTTCTAGCTAGGACTTCAATACTATGCTGTATGGCAGTAGTAATAGTGAAGATTCAATATAGAGTTTTCCATTCCCTAAGGAAAACAGTATGGAGGGTTCTCAAAATATTAATAATGGAGCTACTAGCTGATTAAGCAATGCCACTTAATGGTATCAACACCCCCAAATTCAAAATCACTAATTCAAAGGAATATATGTACTCCTATATTCCTTATATAGGAATATAAGCACTATTTATAATATGCAAGTTATGGAAGAAACCTAAGAATTGAATAAAGAGTAGTATTTTTTTTTAAATATTATTATGGAAGAATATAGAATGAAACCCCAGGACTGTAATGAAGCAAGCCACCATGACAATAACTGTGCATTGGGCCTCAAGAGCAACCAAAGTAGATTGAAGCTGGAAAAGGCACCATGAAGGTTTTCTTCAGAAAAGAGTTACAAGGGGTAGGTTGACTGATACTTTAGAAAGGATTATTTCATTCTTTTGGAAAGCTTAATATTGTTAAATGACACAAAATGGAGGAAGAAATTGTGACAGAAGGCAAAGAAGTAATTGTATGAAACAGAATGTAATTGAAATATAATGTAACATCTCTAAAGATTCCTTTGATAGTCAATAACAGCAACAGCAATTGCCCTAAACTGAAGTCTAGAGTGAGCATAAAGAAGGTGGGAGAAGGTAAGTAAGCTAAAGCCTTCATTTCAAAAGGAAGGTAATGTGAAAATTAAAAAAAAAAAAAATCTATAAATAGCAGTTTAGCATTGTAAATATGAAAGGAATTTTTTTTTTAATGGTTAAAAGAAGCACTAGAAAAACTTGCCTTTGGGTGTTGGAAATGTGTGAGGTTGTATTTATGTAATTATTTGACTTTCTAAACTATGTGCATGTATAATTTGATATTTTTTTAATTCTTAAATGTAAAGCTGAAGATTTTGCCTTCGGGGTTCTTGTTGTTAACCAACTAGGAATTAAAATTAATGCATTCCAAGTGGTTTATCAAAAGTTGTTATCAACTCTGAGTTGTAAGATGATATTTGTAGTCACACTTTTTTTATGTCTTTGTAAGAATTGATAGTCCTTAATATCTGACACAAAATAAATTTCATTGAAAAGATAAAAATAAAAGATAAGCAATAGCAAAGAGAACGTTGGTACCATATTCTAATTTTTTACCAAACTTAATAGAATA